AAAGGCCCCCAATCGAGGGAGGCCCCTTTTCCAGTCCGCTGTTTACTGGGCCACAGGAAGAATTAGCATTCTGCCTGCAAGTACAGTTCTTCTTTCCCCTTTGAGAACAGGATCACTCTTCTGGAAATTACAGGGTAATATAAATGAATCGCATGTCCTGTTACCTTCCCTTGTGTTCTTGCAATGCCTGCTGCTACCTTAATCACCAGGCAAAGTAAGCTAAAAGGAAGCCTCAAACATTTTTTACTGTCATTTTTTTTCCTTGTGTCCGAGCTTATGATGATGTCAGTAAAACCCAACCCAAAGCCTATGAAAGAAAATCGCAGCACGACAGGCTCCGGCTGGGAAGGTCCACATACCGCAGAATGCAGAGCACCAGGCATTTTCCTCCTGCACCGTGTCCACACACGGGGAACTCTGCAAGCCTGCACAGAGCTGAAGCCCTCCTACCTGGCTACAACCTTCCTGGACAGGCCTTTCCCTTCAGACTTAAAAGAATTTACATCAAAGAAATGATATAAATGAAACAAGATGGATCTCTCCTCTTCACCATGTTACTCTCCCCAAGAGAGCAGTTGTCTGGGAAGGTGGAGCTTACAAATTTGATCACCATCCTGGCTTTGCCTAACACAGACTCTGCAAGATATGTTTTTTTTCTCCTTTATGCTTGTTTTCACGAATGCATCCCTAACTTGCCTGAAAGCTCTTTGAGGGCAGGATAATGCCCTGTATCCTCTTTGGTAACTTCCACTCGCTTACCACGTTACTTGGTTCACCAATACAGACAGAATGGTCTCAGTCAATGAACTACCCCATTTCCTAGTCCTCTACCTGGGGAGACAGAAGAAACAACCAGTCTCCAAATGGCTAAAGCTTTTTCCTTCTGAAATATCTGCTTCTGCAAAATGGCATATGCAAGCTTTTTGTTTGTTGTGTTTGAACTCCTTCCTTTCACCTGATCCACTTTATCAGAGTTGAGACTAAGGATTAGGGTCAAAGAATAATAAACTGTTTAGCTTGTGTTTCAGAAGCAGCATTCACTCTATCGAGAACCCTAAGAATCAGCTAATCTGGCCTGACCCTCTGGATTCTCATGAACAAAAGGCAGCACAGCCATAACCCACCCCCCAGCCTTCCCTCAACTACCAGGCATGGGGTTATGGCAACGAAACCTCACAGCCCACAGGACGGTGGAGGGTCATGTACTTGTTTAATACTGAACATGAACATGAAGCAGTTTCTTCTTAACCAACAGGTGCTCATTTCTATCAAGAAAATGGAGTAAACTGTATTTTACAATACAGTCAATTTATAGACATGCTTTCTTTGGAAAGCTAGAATTCCTATCAGCGCTCGCTGTCGTTACTCCTCAGAAGGTGGTGAATCAAAGGAGCAGCTTCCATAGAATGTCATAGAAGCCTTTAGGAGCATGACTTTAGAAATTGATGCCTGAATTTGAATCCCTGCCTGTCACTGATGGGCTATGTGTTCCCTGAGCCTCGGGGTTTCCCAACTGTAAAATGGGGCTAATAGTAACCTAACTTGAGGGTATTGTAAGGCTGAGAGAGTTACTGTGTGTCAATGTTCCAGGTGTTTTGTGAGTGCTCCAGGAGTTTTAGCCTTTCTTATCAGCGCTGTGGACCCCACACTGTGCTGGGGGCTGAGAAACCATTGAATTCAATCCTCCCAATCATGTCTGGATGAAGTTGCTATTATTATCACCCCACTTTAAAGACGAAGAAACTGAGGCAAAGAGACAGGAGCAAGAATCACAGTACACGCTGCCTGGATGGCCACCCACTCCTCTCCCCGGGCCCCCAACCACTACGTTGCATCAGAATGAGAAAGACGGGCTCATGGCTGGAACACACAATGGCAACTGCGAAGTTCATTATCTAGGGATTCCAAATCACTCTCAAACAGTTGCCTTCTTGAGCACAAGGACTATGTTTTTGCTTCTTCCCTAAAGAAAAGAGCGCACAGTTCTGAACACACCATAGGCACTCAATTAATACTCACTGGATTTACAAGGAAATGCACGGAAGAAAGTGGCTCAGAATACTTGATCAAATCAACTCCAATACATTCCACGAATTCCCTAAAGCCTTGAAAGCCTTGCCTAACACAAAACCTGTTTTCTGAGGCCAATGAGAGCTTTGACCTCAAGCTAAAACATTGCTAAACTCATCAAAAATATCGTGAGAGTGAAAACATTTCACGTAGGGCCTCCAGGTGGGATTAGGGAAAGGGTCTCCCAAGGTGCTGCAATAAAAATTGCTTTGAAAACAATACAATCTTAGGTTTGTGTTCATTTTGTTTTTGTTTTTCCCAAGTGTGAGGATAGATGCTGCATTATTGCTGCTTGTTCTGGATGTTACCAAACACTCTAAACCCATTTTCCTGTCTGAGGGCGAGAAGAGGAGTATGGCCAGCAGCCTTACGGCCCGGGTATCTGTGCAAAGGAGGTTTCTAAGCAGAGAAGTTTTGGGGTAGGGGTGGGGTATGCCCATGGCCCAGAGCAAAAGGGGAGGAGAATAAAGGAAAACAAACTGCACACAAATTGATTTACTTTTAGCCCAGATTTTTTTTGGCATGCCTATATTTGCTGATTTCTGTGTATAGTAGAGCCTAAACGTTCATTTTTATCTCTTCCTGATATAGAGGTGAGCAGTGCACTAGCGAGCCAGGGCTCAGTCTCTAGGGGGCTGGGACAGTGATAGCAAAGATGTTGATGGCAAAAATAAAACTCCTGTGGGCTCCAAAGTCACGTCAGAATTCAGCTCTTAGTCTGGTCTGCCAGGAAGACTGAATTTGTTCTTACATGAACAGAGTCTCCGGTGGTCTTGAGGGTAAATAGAGTCTAAGGTTAAGGAATCCTATATCTGACTTCTCATTCTGCCACTTTACTAGAGCTTTCTGATCTCCGACAAGTTACTCAATCTTGTTGAGCCTTAGTTTTCTCATCTGTAAAATGGGAATAACAATGACACACACCCCAAAAGAACGTTGCGGAGATGACACAAGATGATGCATTTAAAAGTACTTAGCTTGGTACTGTCGGTATGGATTGGCGTATACAGGAAGCATCCAATGAATGCTGGCCACCACTGCTATTCTTTCCATTATTGCTAAAGAGAAGACCCTTATTAAGAATAATTGGATTATTGCCAACTGTGGTGAATTTTCACATACATGTCGTGAAGAGCTACTCAGTATATTTTGAGGCTGATTCCCAGAATAACCTGGAAGGCAGGCAAGACAGACATTAGTACCCTTGTGTTGCAAGTGAGAAAACAGAAGCTTAGAGAGATGGAGGGTTTGTCAGAATTCGTTAGCTAGCACAGGGCAGGCCAGGCACGCAACCCGGGTCTGTCCCCAGCACTCCCGCCACAGCTTGCTGGAGGGAACCAAAAGGCAAGGTACCCCCAGGGAAAGAACTGGAAGCCAGTCTGCCCACGAGAGGGGGCAAGAGGACTAGTGTGGGCTGGGTTGGTCTATTCGTTTGCTTGCTGCTCCGGACCCAGATGGATTTTGCAACGCTTGTAGGTTGTGACCTATAGCTTGCAAAGCACTGCTGCGGGGAGCCGTGGTTCCCAAAGCCACGTGAAGGGCCTGTTACTCTAGAATGAGCTGGGGGGTTATCTGTGTTGTTGTTTGTCTGAATTTTTACTGCAGGAATTTTTAAACATATGGAAAAGCAGAGATAAGAGTACCATGAGCCTCCAGTGCTGACAGGCTCAGGTTCTTGGGCCTCATCCCAGGCCAACCCTGTTCCATCTATCATATGCTACTGGCCACTTCCCCGATCCCTGATTTTGTTAAAGGAAATACTGGGGGAGTTTAAATCAATCCAGACTCCCCTTATGCCTTGCAGATTCAGATCTAGCAGGTGTGGGGTGGCTGGGCACTTGTGGTCCTCATGGCTGCCAACCCAGGGGACACAGAAGGATAGACACTCTGCAGCCGTCAGGCTGGGTGGCCTCTGAGGGCTCTGCTATTTGCAAGTGACAACCAAGCAGTCGGTTCCGTGAAGGAAACTGGGCAAACCCTTCAGCTACACAGGCTCACAGGGGCTGTCACAGAGGATGGAGCCTTCCACATATGAACCGTGGCAGAGGCAGAAAAGGATGAGAATGGAGGAAGGAGGCTGGTCCACCGGCCTGTGATGAAGCCTGTCCGAGAGGATGCTCCCTGCTGCCGTGGTTCTATGGCTGGGCCCGCAGCCCAGCACCCTAACACTCCGCCGTGGCCTCCAACCCTCGAGTTCCACATGGGCAGGCAGCTCCCTACTCCCTGATGTCTCCTCAGAGCTTGGCACAGTAAATGCCAACTTGGGCGAATCACGTGAAACAGATGACACTTGACCATCCCTGACCTTCTAAATGTCAACTTTATGGCTCTACCTCCCATCTAGTAGGTATTCAGTGAACATCCAGTGAGGGAACAAACACCGACGGGGTTGTAAGAGCTCCACATGCCAGCTACCAAGCTAGTCTTTCTTGCTGAACCAACCACAGTGCAAGGTGGCTATGATATCTCCAATCTACAGATGAGGAAACTGAGCTGATGTACATGAAAGTGCTTAGCACAGCACCGGGTGGTTACTGCACACTCATCATGCGGCAGTGATTATTACTAATATTATACAAAGCCAGGCAGCGCCCCAACAACAGAGCCAGGCCTGCGGGACTCTCATCAGCCTGCCTTGCTCAGCAGCAGCTGTCCTGGAAAAGCAAAGCCACGGGCCCCTGAAAGAAGACCGGGGTCCGTAGTGGTCACAACACAGACCACTGGGCGAGTCCCAGATGATGAGCAATTTCGCAGTGAGAAGCAAACCCGAGAGAGCTGGTCTAGAACGTTTGCACAGAGCACGGCGCTATCCCAAGGAGAGAATGTGTGGACGCGTCCCACACTGCCTGTCTGCTGGTGTCGTTCTCGGTCACAAAGAGCACAGGCAGGCAAGACTCGGCCGCTGTGCAGGGAGGACGGCTCCTGCTTACCTCTTTGCTCTGTCTTTCTCATCTTCATCCATTAGATTTTCTATGCAGTTTTTCCTGGGGGGAGGGAGGAAAGAACAGATGATTACTGTCTGCTTCTAGATCTTTCTTACACATCTTTCTGGTTGTCATCATTTTGGTCTTATCTAACCCACATATCTTAGCCCAGCAGTTCTCAAATTGGCTGGTGCCAGCACCCCTTTATGTGTTCAAAATTCACTGGGGACTCCAAAGCGCTCTCGTGTATGCGAGTTAAAACCGAGAAATGTTTAAACACGCGAGCTCTCCTTCCACCAGGAGTCAGATCGATGAAGTCATCAGATGTCAGGTAGCATCTGGGAAAGCCCACTGGACACTCAGGAGAGAACAAAAGTTTTTTTTAAAAAAGAAGCAAATAACGTATTAATGATAGTTTGAAAAAGTGTCTTGAAATCACAGATCCTAGGGGTTCCAGAGCACACTGTGAGAACTGCTGTCTAAACACAGCCCAATGAAGCACCTTCTGTTTAGCTCAATCCTTAAGCCAGCAAGCACCCCCTGAGCATGCCTGTGACGTGTTAGCGGCGTCCATAGGGTCTGTTCCCTCCTCCTCACAGGACCCCAGTGGCCCGAGAAAACCAACTCCCCTGACAGGTGGCCTGGAGGAATCTGCCCCAAAGGAGTATAGTCCATAGTCCTTCCCCGAAGGCACTTCCTTGCCCCTGGGCAGCAAAGGCGCACAGATGTGAAAGATTAAGCAACAACCCAGGAATGTTCTTTCTTTCTCACTGCCTGGAGCCTCTGCTCTCCCAGGCCACTGGCTCTGTGCCTTTCAGGCCCAGGGATCTGGTTTCCTCCCGCCGCGCCCCCAACAGGCCTGGGATCCCTTCACCCCTGGGAACCAACCATATCCTCGGTTCCCTCTTTCATTCACTACTTCCCAGAGCTCCGCCTGTCTGGGATGCTCTGCCGCCAGCCAGCAAGCCACCCTCAGGGTGTCTGGGAGCCAGAGCCTGCCGGGGGAACTGCAGGCAGAAGGCCGTGGTGGCTGAGCGCGCCCAGCGTGACCCAGGTGAGGGTGGTGACCTCGGAGAAGCCGAATCACCACCACCCACAGGCGTCCGTACTCAACACACAGCGTCTCGAGTCAGAGCTTCAAAACCAACGCCAGAAATTACTCTCAAAATTTAAAGTTTTAGATAAACATTTTTAATGGAGCAAATGAGTCTTTCTCTGAGATAATTTAGTGTTGTGATTTTGGTCACCTATGTGCATAAGCCAAAGCAAGGAAGAGGCTTTCTGCAGCCATGGCCTCTGTTTACACACATGTATGGCACAGACACAGTCAGGGACAGACTAGCGATAAATACCGTCTGGAAGCTGAGGCATCACAATTAAATCAGAGTCGACACATCTGTAAACAGGCCTGTGCTTTAATGTTTCCCAGATGGAATCTGTTCAAAGTTTTACGAGGCGAACAATGCAGTGTCAATTCATTTACTGACACCCTAGCCCGGGCCTGTGCTTCCAAGGAGAGTGGCAGCTGCCCAAGTGCCCACGGCATGAGCGAGGACACAGCCAAGCCATGTCCCTTACCAGGGACGTGGACAGAGTGTCCCCACAGGAGGGCTGGGCTGCAGCTTTCGGTCCACTATCCTGAGGTCCTGGGATCCTGTTTGGATGACCGGAGTTGCTTAGTCATGAACTAAACATCTAAAAGTGACTAACAGCTATTTTTTTTATCAGCCATATTATCTCTGATTTATAGCTGTTTATCCTTAAACATTTCCTGAATCCGTGAGGCCTGGATGACCTACATCCGACTTCCTCATCTTCCCCGCCCCTCCCTCTTCCCTGCCCGACGTCTCACCTGACCCCTGCCTGAACCACTGGCTGAACTGCACCTGCCACTGTAGCACCTTTCCACAGAAGCTCCACACCGACGTCCTTCCTATTTTGTCACTGCCATTTGTCTCCCATCTTTACCCTATATATTTTTTTCGGCTTTAAAAAAATTGTGGTGGAACGCACATAATAAAACTTACCATCCTAACCATTTTTTAGTGTACAGTTCAGTGGTATTGAGCACATTCACACTGTTGAGCCACTGTCACTACCATCCATCTCCAGAACCTCTTTCATCTTGCAAAACGGAAATTCTGGATCCAACTAAACACCTCCATGTTGCCCGCCCACTCCAGCCCCTGGCAACCACCATTCTGTTTTCTGTCTCTATGAATTTGATGACTCTTGATTACAGGTGGAAGAATATATTTTTCTCTTTTTTGTAACTGGCTTATTTCAGTTAGCACAGTGTCTTCGAGGTTGATCCACGTCGAAGCATGTGTGAGCACTTCTCTCCTTCCTAAGGCGGAGTGGCGTTCCACGGTAGGGGCAGACCCGTCCGGGTCACCGGCTCATCACCCGCGGACACGTGCGCTGCTCCCGCCGTGGGCTGCTGTGGATGGCGCTGCCCTGGCCGTAGGTGAGCACCTGCGCTTGCGTTTCGGGGTCGCTCTCGTGCTTCACAACACAGCCGGCCTGGAGGGGCCCACAGGCAAGCGAGGAACAGGCTTAGGGGCGGAAAGGAAGCCCTCTGAGGTCAGGTGAAAGGAATCACAGAGAAGTTTAGGGGGCGACTATGATTCTTCTCAACGGTAGAATTTCCAGTGAGAAGGATTTTGAGCAACTATTTTTCCTGGGATCACAGAGTGCCACAGAAGAGGAGTTTAGATGAAGGCAGAGGAGGTCCTGTTTGGAGCTGAGAAACAATGGTGACGGGATTAACCCTCAGAGTGAGCATCAGAGGCACGTGGCAGTGTCTTTACTCCAGATAGCCGTATATCCGCCGTGGGTGAGACATTCACAAGGCTTATGAGTCAGGGTCTCGAGAGGAAGCGGGTGGCAAGGTCAGGATCCTTTGAGAGGAGGGCGTATTTGAAACTCGGCTCTTGGCAAAGGTGTGGGTGGGAAGCAGGGAACCGAGGGGGAGAGTGTGGCTACTCAAGATTGGCAACAGCAGAGCTGCTAACACCCTAAGGGTGAAGGGATGGCAGGGAAATGGTTTCCTAAACCTGGAAGGGGTTTGTCCTCCAGGGGAGGTGGCCTTTGGTAGAGGACACAGCCAAGAAGGGAGCAGAGGAAATAAAAGCCCTCATCTCCTTCTCTGCCTGCCCCCATCTCCCACTTGTGTCTCCTGTTAGCCCCTTCTCCGGGACAAAGAGGCTGGGAGCCTGTGTGTGTCCTCAGCCCACGGGAGCCTGGGGGCAGAGAGAAAGGCACACACTGAAGACACATGGCATGGCCAGTCTTAGGGCACGTCTTAGGGCAGGCATCCTCAAACTACGGCCCTCGGGCCACATGTGGGTGTTTTTGCCCGTTTGTTTTTTACTTCAAAATAAGATATGGGCAGTGTGCACAGGAATTTGTTCATAGTTTTTTTAAAACTATAGTCTGGCCCTCCAACCGTCTGAGGGACAGTGAACTGGCCCCCTGTTTGAAAAGTTTGAGGACCCCTGCCTTAGGGGATCTTCCAGTTCTAGGTTTCTCTGGTTCTCCTAGAACATAAACTCTTTGGGGTCTTTTTAAGCCATGTTCCATCTCCCCAAATGTGAAGTCTAGGCATCTGCACCTAGCAACTAATCACACAAGAAATAAGGACCCACAGTTATAATGAGAGCCCCTGAAAGGGAATCCTGGGATAATCTGAGCTACGACAGTATTGATTATAACCTGAGGGATAAACTAAATATTTATGAGTCTAGACTGATACAAATAAATAAATGGGGGGTGGGGAGGGACGGAGACAGCTCCCCCTTACAGAAAAATTCCAAATGATAAATGTAGAAAGGAGTAAGGAAAATAGAAAAAAATCACCATCAGTACATCATAGTAATAATTGTTACATCAAGGTCCACTAATGGATGCTAAATTAATGGGAAAAAATTGGGGAAGAAACAAGATAACTGCATAGTCTCAAAGTATCTGTCTCAAGATATGTATTAATTCAAAGGAAAACCAGTAATTTCATAGTGAAGATTGGTAGACACCACCTTCACCTAGTGGTCAAACCCCAGTGACAAGTCATATGACAGTCTCTCTGCAGAAATATGCATTCCTTTCTCTTGGGTGTTTATATCTAGGAGTATAATTGCTGGCTCATGGGGTAGCCGTATGCTTAATTAAAAACTGCCAAGCTGTTCTCCAAAGTGACTGTACAATTTTATATTTGTACCTGTAGCACACAAGAGTTCCAGTGGCTCCACATTCTCACTAACCCTTGGTACTGTCAGTCTTCTAATTTTGGTGGTTATAGTGGGTGTGCTGTGGGACTCACTGGGATTTGAATTTGCATTTCCTTGATGACTGACATGTAGAGCATCTTCTCATATGCTTACTGGCCATTCAGATACCTTCTTTTCTAAGGAATCTAATTCTTTTGCCAACTTAAAAAAAATGGGCTGTTTATCGTCATCATCTCTGTCTTCTACGTACCAGTACGTTTGTCAGATATATGTACTGCAAACAATTTCTCCAGGTCTGTGGCTGGCCTTTTTGCTTTTTGGATGCTGTCTTTTGATGAGCAGTTCTTAATTTTGATAAAGTCCAATTTATCAACTTTTTATTTTATGGTTAGTAATTTTTGTGTCCTAAGAAATCTTTGCCACCTCAGTATTCGTGAGGAATTATCCTGTGCTTTCTTCTAGAAGCTTTATCATTTAACTTCTACATTTCGAACTACAATCCATTGCAAATTAAATGTTATGTGTGGTCTAAGATACTGGTCAAGGATAATTTTTTTCCCCATATGGATATCCAGTTGCTCCAGGATCATTTACTAGAAAGACATTTCTTTCCCTATTGAATTTCCTTTGTACTTTCATCAAATATTATATATTATATATGTATTTACATACTATTCAGCTCCATTTATCTACAGGATATCTGCAGAGTTGAGGTACATAGGATAAACTTTTTAAAAAAATAAACTTTTAGAACAATTTTAGATTTATAGAAAATGAAAAGATAGCAGAGATCCCATATACCCTGCACCTAGTTTCCCCTATTATTAACATCTT